GTACTGGCAACAAGGAAAAAATCCCTACTTTTCCCTAACCGTGTATACGTCACCAGCGGGAAGGCGGACGAGCTACCTGGGCAGCCGCTTTCCGGAAACCAGCGATCTAATTTTTTATTTTTTTTTTCACAGCTCCATAAATGGAAGTTTCTTTGCAACGGGTAGCAACCTGTGCTCCGCGGTAGATTGTAGGAACAGTGCCGGGAAAAGCTTCTTTTTTGTCCTTGTTTTCCTGGTGGGAGAAAAAAAGAACCGCTCCCCGGCAGGATAGCTGGGCGAGTTGGTATGTATTCATAATGGAACAGCGCGAATTTTACAGGGACATAGGAAGGAACTGGACAGGACGAGCGCTGACTAACACCGTGATTAGAGAGTCGTGTTGTTGTATGTTTTCTTCGTGGTTCCTTGATAACAAACCTTTCAGTTGTTATTCAGCGCTCGTCCTGTCCAGTTCCTTCCTCTGTCCCTGTAAAATTCGCGCTGTTCCATTATGAATGGATGCTAGCCACGGCAAGGTGTTTTTGCGCGAGCTGTGTGCCAAAGAAACTTGTGTCGCACGAAACATTCTCGCTTATGCTCGGAATAGTTTACAGAGTTACGGGCTTGAGTACGCGGCTACATACTTTATAGCCGCGTGCTACGAGTTGAGTATTCTTCTGCAGCTGGAGTCTCATTTCTTGGCGCATCATAGCCTTAGTTGCTTTTGCGCCATAAAACCACAATCTACTATACTACTACTTCTGCAGCTGGAACAGCTGAGTCAAGCCGGCTGTGACCCCTACAATATCCGTCCAAAGAGGAGCGCTAATAATATCGAGAGAAATTGTATAAATTTTGACACTGTAGTCGACATTTGGCGCAATCACATTTTTTGGGCTCAATTACATCCTTTTTTTTTAGCATTATATATTTGTTTTGTACATGGCATCTCTCGGAGTTCCACTCACGCGGCCGATATGTTAAAGACGGGAAGTGAAATGTCAAAACAAAGTTCAAGTCTGGGTTTAGACACGACTTTCGACACACTGCTACAAGTGTCTGGTACTGCAGAGGTTTAGGAAGCAGGTGTTGAGTTCCATTAATATACGATAGAGATATTGCATGGTTTGTCAGATGGTTGGCATGCAATTTTCTCTCGCAGAAGAAGTGGTGAAAGCGTCTTTACTTCATTCTATTGCGGAAAAATGTTACATAGGGCTGAGAAGCTTTTTTTTTTTTAATTATTATTATGAAAATAATAATGTTGAGGTGCAAATTTACATTTGATGGAGACTGTGCAAAACCAAAACTTATTTTTAAATAAAAAAGTTCATATAGAATTGCAGCTTCCCCATGTGCACTTGTGTATGAGTGTTTGAGCGTGTTGCATACTGCTCCAACAACTAAAAAACATTAAAAACATTTGGGTACGTTTACAATTTTCGGGGGGTAACTTTTGTTAAGTTATTTTGAACTAAACACTTGTATGGTGCATTTTTGTACTTTGCGTACTATTTCAAAAAAATATGTTTTATTTGAAGACGAATAGTTATGGTATGTGTTTTATACGCCTTTCATTGCGCCTGTTGCAATGTATAGAAGCCCAAATGTGTAGAAAGGAATGAACTGCATTCGTGTAGGACAGATGGCAGGTTTCTGTACATGATGATTGCACTACAATTATAATTAAACGAGGTCCACAACCACCAAGCCAAACAAGTATCTCAAGTTTGCTTGGTGGTTTTGGAGCTCTTTTAATTTTAATTGTAGCGCGATCATCATGAACAGAAACCTGCCATCTGTCCTACACGAATGCAGTTCATTCCTTTCTATACATTTTAATGTTTACGAGAATCACAGCATACATGTGTTAGGTCACAAACCAACACTCGCATGTTCATCGCCTTGGAAGACGAGCAAAGCACGCACCACACGCACGTACGCTGAAAATGACATTATGCACCAAGGAGCATATGCATGCTACAAGAGAAGTTACATCTGCTCTCGTCTGCAACGGTAACTTTTTTAAAGAAAGTCTAAAACAAATGGCACGTTCCTTCAGGTAAGACGAGCGTGTGGAGCACCTTCACATTTCGAGCATTTTCCGTGGTGCTTGGGTAATTTGTCAAAAATATGTATTGCTTGATTCGTTGGCATTACTTCGCCAGCGTAACTGCCAACTTCTGATAGAAGGAGAACTTGCTTCCGACTTTTTTTTTTACTTTCTGTTTAGCACGTAAGTTAAGGTCATACTGTGTGAAAAAAAAGATATTATTATCAACTTCAGATAGTACGAACGACCATGTTTTCTCGCTGTTATTACGCGAGAAGGGTGGGCGCTAGCGTACCCGATTGCCGGCTGCGCGCATCGCTGCCCGCCAGTGACGTCACGTTTGGGTGGCGGGGAAAACTGGTGGAAAAAACTAGGGAGAACGATGCTTCGGTTTCGGCAGCGAACAAAATATCACTTTTTAATTAACTAGAGTGAATCTGGGGGTACGAGATAGAATTTAGGAATCAGGAAGCCATCTGCATTCAGACGATGCATTTAAATTCGGTAGCTAAAAAAAAAGTTTTTTTTTGAGCAACCGCAATTAACTATATTTTCGAAATCGCCATCTTTTACTCTTTCCGGTATGCTATTTAGTATCGCGAAATTCAAAATGGCTATTGTGAAATCGGCAAATGAAAATGACTCCAAAACGAAGATTCGAATATGCCTGCGCTTTTTATTGCCGTGACGTCACGGGTGGGCCGGTTTGCGGTTTTCGAACGGGCTGTCAAAAAATAAACTATGCCGAGCGTTTGTATCATGCTGCTGCGCGGGAGCTGGGGGGACTTTCCAAAGCATTCATTTGACACCATAATACTGTTTGTAATCAGTTGGCAACAAAGTCTACAGCCCTAAGAGTGAACCCCTGCCCACCCATTACGTCACTTTTTCAATGTTGCCAGTAGAGTTTTTCACTTTGAAAAACACGATGAGGACCAAAATTTTAAATTCTATAACTTTGCAAAAAAAGTTATTTTGTCCAAATATTTTGGTTATAGTTCAGCAATGAAAACATCCGCCGGTAAAATTTTGGAAAAATTTGAATTTATCCGGTAAACTCCGAATTTTGATGTGCCAATGCTTCCCCCCTCCCCCCCCCCCCCCTTCCAATAAACTAAACAAAGACGGTATTTTACAATTAAGTTTGATGAGCGCATACGGTCAATGGTCCCGGGAAAATGCCAGCACAGTTATCTTTCAATTCTCGTATGATTGACACAAGGGGTCTTACCGTTTATCTCGCCAAGGTTCAGGACGATATGTCATTGTACAAAATGTCACAAAACAAATTACAGGGCTTTTTTTTTACCGCGAAAATAAACTAGGCATCGCCTAACGCTCATTCTCCGCCCAAAGGTAGCGCTAGAGGTCACAACCGCCCAAAGGTAGCGCTAGAGGCCAAAGTTTCAGCCCGATCTGATACCTTATTCAAAAGTGATTTTCTGAAAGTTTCAATGGGAAAATGAAGCCCATTTTCGCCCGTTTTCGGTTTCTGGTGCCATAGAGCCCCGTGTATTCGAAAACTCCGTCGGCCGTCATTTTCCCATTGAAACTTTCAGAAAATCCCTTACAACTTTTGAACAAGGTATCGGGTCGGGCTGAAACTTTGGGATCTGGTTGTGACCTCTAGCGCTACCTTTGGGCGAAGAACGAGCGTTCGGCGATGCGGTAAAGAAACAAACAAAAAAAACTGTAAATTGTTTTTGGTGGCAATCTGTACTTTCGGATCACGACTAAAGCCTCTGTTTTGGTTTCCAGTTTGGGCCATACTATTTGTGTTTTAAGGGCCGAAGACCAGTTCGTGCTTTCCGCTTTTTCCCCGCTTCCTCCTCTTTCCCTTCAACCCTGTCCATTGTTGCCTGTTTCCTTCTCCCCCATGGTCAGGAGGATCTTCTGCCTTGCAGATTCCCGAGTCTGGTCGTCTGTTTTTGTAACACTTAAAGCTATAGAGTAGACCATAGAGATCGCATAAAATTAAAAGAGGGGACCAGTTGAAACTTCTCTATTACATCCTTTACCACTTCACCTCGCGTGGCCGCGGAGTAACATGGAATAGGATGGGATGAGTACGTGCTTCCCAGTGAGTTTATTCTTAAGGTATTGACGTTTATCGAAGCTACACATCTGTGCAACTTTTGCCGTTGGACAAATTAGTATTGACAATGGCACCAACACCAAAACCAGCTGAAGAAATATAAATTGATATAAGCGCTTTTTATTTTTCTTTCTCTATCATACGTTTACACACGGATATTATTTATTTATTTTTCATAGAAGACACAGCGAAATCAAGCTCCGAATTTCAGAGATTTTGAAATGAAACAAAAATAAACTCATATAAACTCAAAATTTTCAGGAAAAAAAAAAAATAAACTTCGAAAAACATCGTTCGAGTTTGACGAAAAATGAGCTCCTAAACACGGAATCCTAAGTATACCCGATGACGTCAAGACCTTCCGGTCATCGGCGTACCGGAATCGTGGCATGGCATCGGGTCAAGTTCTATCCACATTATTTTCCGCTTCAATTTATCTCATGCGTCTCCTTGTAAAGTAAGCTCTAGATTGACCGTCTCCGAGGCTTCATGAGGTCCTTCTCGAAGTTCCTCCCGCAGGATTTCACAACATGCCTGATCTGTTCTTCCCTTCGCTAACTGTTCACACATCATACAAAAGACACCATGTTTGCTGCAGACATAAAGATATGTGCGGACATGCCTACAGCACGGCCGAAGCATGTTTGCGCTTAGGATATGTCTGCATACAGTTTTTTCATGACCACTGTGCCCGTCATACAAGAAAGGAACACGTCTCAGACATCGTCTAAAGACTGTCTTTTGTGTAATGCATCAGCAATGTGATCGCGGCTTGGGACTTCGAGGAGGTTCTTCTCCAAGTTCTTCCCACACAAGATTCGACTACATTCATGATCTATTCTTTCCGACTCCTTCGTTTCTACGGAACAGCCCTTGCGCCCCTACAGCTGGTCCGGAGCAAGTATGGATGAGAACGACGTGTCTGACTCCAGGGTTCGCTACACGGACCATCAGCTTCAGAAGCTCGAGGAGATCTTCAGCGAGCACGCCTTCATCAACGGCGACCAGGCGGCGCTGCTGTCTCGTGAGCTGGGGATTTCCCTGAAGCAGACCAGGGTGAGGACGAAGCATCCACGTCGCACGCATCTTGAGCATGTATCCGAACTGGGTGTGGACTAGCCGCTTGTAGGACTGAGAGCTCCAAGAACACGCAGACGAGTGAAGAACATACCGCAGTGCCTATATGACGTGGCGTCATCTTGGCGAGATCGCAACATTAGCGATGAAATTTATTTTATGTATTGGGTAAAACACCATGAAAAACAGCTTTGGTGTATACGTTCAGTGTGAGAACATTGGACAAAGCTCGATAAGACTTCTGGCATGAAGAACATGGTGCTCAGTTCGGCCAGTGCGAAGGGCGATGGGTGTCATGTTGCAAGGCTGAACGTAGCACGATGGTGCAAAAGGTGTAGCCCAACATCAGCTAAAATAATCAAACCCTGTGAACAGCCTTCTCTACTTGCACGAAACGTCATCACACTAGAATTCAACAACTCGGCGAATGGGCCGGACGCAGGGCGTCCTCCGACGCATTGACTGAATACGGGGCCCAGCCGAACGTTGGCGTAGCTGCGATGACGTCAGAATACCAGTGCACGGGCTTCGGTTATTAGGTGGCGTGCATGCCTCTTTACCACTAAGACTGCGCACAACGAATGGAGCGTGTTCTCTCCCGTCTGCGAGCGGTGTCCGCCCCCGTCGACACCGTATAATTGCATGGCCATCGGAGCACTATACCACCTGCCCTCCTCATTGGCTGAGCCGATTCAAGGAAGACTAATAATTGGTGTTTTAAGTGCACCGCGGTGCAGCATGCATTCAGGTACTTCTTGAGAGTCTAGAAGAACACCATCCTCTCTGCAGACCTGGTTCCAGAACAGGCGAGCCAAACTTCGTCGCCGTGCCATCAAGGCCGAGGGCAAGAACTACGTTCCCAAGCTGTCACCGGGGCCCATCAGGATCTGCAGAACTCCGCCATCGCCAAGCTCAGGGACTGGAAAGGTGGTGTCTGCAGCAGGACCGAGGGACGGCGTTTTGAAGCCGTCGAACGGCAGGTCCGACAGCCAGATGCTCAACGTCCCGTCGTTCAGCAGCCGCTCGCTGTCCGACTCTCCGGTACTCAGCAGCGCGGACGAAGATGACGTTTTCCTTTGCGTTTCGAGGTCAGTGGTAGAGGCAGGCCTCTCTTTCCGGTCTAAATATGGCCGAGCACTCCTTCGAACGTGCAAGCGGCTGGTTGCTTTTGTTCATCAAGAGCTTCCTACGAGCCGTGTCGTGGCCAGGGACGACGCTCTAGAAAGCAGTCTGTTAGCTAACTTTCCTGTAGAACACGGAGACAGTCAATCACAGCGAACAATAGAAGGATCCCAGCGAATGACGAAGTTCGAAATACGTTTAGACCAAAGAAATGCGATGTGTGCATGGAACAATGAGCATGGTGTTTTACTCGCTCGTCGTCCCTGCGGACATCGCATTTTCCAGGTCGTATTCGGAGTTCGGTCACTCACTCGGATCTTCCTGTTGTTCGCCGCAATCATCTGTTTCCTTCAGAAAAGTTAACTATACCTTTCTTCAAGTGTTGCAGGTGAGAAGCTCGCGAGGGGTGCTTCTGTTTTCCTCACGATAGGTAGTGCACGTGCTACCCTCGCGGTTATGCTTTAATTTTTATTGTATATTTTTATAGCTTGGCATTGCACTGGTAGCACTGGCTTGTAACAGCGGGGGAAGTTGAAGTATCCCCACTCTAGGTTGTAAGAATATTCTACCAGGCGGCGATATCCAAACTTCTTACCACGAATAGACCTTTTCCAGAAAAGGGGTCCCTGGCCGGTTCCATTTTCAGTGTTAGTGTGTGTGGTGCGTGATTTGCTCGCTTTCCGAAAGGACGAGCATGCGCGTGCTGGGTTGAGGATTCGTAAATATTACAATGGTGTATCGACCAACTGTTCAGTCCCGTAGTAATTTGATCAACTTCTGTCTGCGCGTCGTTTCTGCCGCTCCCGCTTCCAGCAGTTGCGCTGGGAGACAGCGGCCAGCAGGAAAGGACCCCACGGCCGAGCCTCTCAGCAAGTCGGCTCCAACCAGCGCCTACATGGAGGCTGCGAGGAGGGGCGACGCTGCTGAACAGTGGCAGCCACCATCTCCCACCTTTTTCGGGGACGTTGACGCGTCAGGCGGAGGTGAGTGCACAGCATGACGCGGCACAAATCCATGTCCTTCTGTTTGCCGAACCACCACAAATGATTCTGCTGCGAGAATTATCGCTGAATTGGAACATAGCCTCCTCTAGATATACTCACAAAGCCTGGCAGTTCGACGACGGAGCCATAGAGTGCCCGGTCGCAGATTTGGAGCTCGAGTATCTGGTAGCACGGAGCATCAAAGAGCCATTTTTCGGAGAACCTGGACGTCAGAGTACAGCTTCTGCAGTGACGAGGACCCGAAACACACTTGTGTGTTTCTGTTCCGCTGCGCGACGCCGCAGCGGGGCGCCAGTCACGTGGCTCTCCTCTCATCCGTTGTCTGCCGCTCCACCTTTTTCATTTCGGCGGCCTCTTCTCGTGGCAATCTGCCAGGTTTTCTTAGTGTATAGGAGGCTATGATTGGGCATTATACTCGACTTCACATTTCCCACCGCAACCGACACTACAGTCCGAGCGAGCCAATCGGGCAGTGCTAAAAGTGCGTCGTCACGGCACATGTCTTGGACCGATTAAAGCTAATCACGCGCAGTAGATCCTGCACCTTCTTTTCTGTGCGTGCGTCATTAATTTCGCCGGTAATGACAAAAAAAGAAGCGCCATGACATCGCACTTTTGGCGCTGCTTGATTAGAGCTATTTAGCAAATCGCTCCAATGGCGGACTCAGGATTATCGTCTGGGGGGGGGAGGGGGGGGGGGGGAGTTCTGGAAGCGACAGTACGTCGCCGGCGACCCGGCAACGTACAGTCGCTTCTGCCTATCAACACGCGCACATACGCGCCTGCACAATGCGCACCTTCGAAGGAGTACACCATGCATGTACGAACGAGTGCGTGGATTTACAATATCGGTAACGAGGTTCTCCTAAGGGGACCTCTTTCGTAAGTGATTTCTCGCAAACCACCGCAAAAGCCGGCGGTACGTTTTGGCATAATTCTTCGGTCGCACTCAGCGGGTGGGGGCAATATAGAACTTTGCCTGTCTTTGGTTGGAAGTTTGAATTCGTCTCGACGCTTCCCTCACTTTTCAACTTTGGCCCATGGTTTTGTTTGCTGTTGCTTGCCATTTTCATTTCCCCGTTCTTTCCGATAGGCAGGATTGGTCGCAAAAAAAAAAAAAAAAGAAAAAGACCAATCAGGTGTGTTTTTTTGTGTGTGTGCGTTTTTTTTTTTTTTTGTCTTTTTTGAGGGAGTTTACATTTTCATCCGATGAATTCACCCTGCAGTACTTTATTTTCACTGCGATCGTGGGATCTTTGTATCTATCTTGCACTTGGCACAAGTTTTACCGAGACAATTATCTTACCCGCTTTGAGGGCTACAGAACAAAGTATTACAAATATTTGCTGACTAGCCATATTGAGGTATTCGCGACTCCAGCGACCTATAGGGGGCGCCACCACCAAACAAACATGGCGGCTGAGTCCAGGTCGCGGAGGCTCGGCCGGGCCGCCTGAACAGGTGGCGCGTTCAATTTAACAAATTTTCTTTTGTTTAATGCCCAATTTTATAGGTATTTGAACTGAGACGGTTAAGTGTAGCCGGTACAGATAAACTTGCAAAGCATAGTTTTGTTTTGCCGGTGTTTTTTTGTTCTTTTCGTGTCAAACTTTCGTTTCGGAGATTTCGTTCAAAACCGAAACTATGGGCTCCGGAGAGACGGTTTTGATCATCTAAGGAAAGCGGCGATGACTATAGAATTGTTCCACAGAGAGTAACTTTTCAGCTAGCTCGCATGCCTCGACCATGCGACTTTTCTGTCCGCGAAATCGAGCTTTTGTGCATATCCGCGTTTACGAAACAGCTCCGGTCGTCTGCTCGGCCAACAATATAGGCTGCAGGAAAATTACGAAAATTAAACAACCGCTTCTTGAGCCAAGGACCATGTTAACCCGCCGGCGCCCCACTAAGCAGCTGATACTCGTATCTCAATTCAGGTTTTAGTAGCAATCGAGAAGTCATTTTGACGAGCGGGTTATGTATTATATTACGTACTATGGTCCCACAAAGCGATATTAGTATATCCTTCGGGTTGAAATATGAGCTTAGTTGACTAGCTATTAGGTGAGCTGCTGAATAAAAGTATATTTGACAGACGGAGACATACTACTTAAACTTAGCCAAATGGCTCTATAGCCGGCAGCACGGAGACAAACTGAAGAGAGTCTTCATTGAAGATCCACGCAGAACCGCTCTGCATTGAACTTTGCTTCGAATTCTGAATGGAGAAAATTAGTATTTTTTTTGTGGCCGGTCAACCTGACCAATGTAGACGTATACTGCTGCTGGCTTCGACGTCCTCGTAATATAAATATTGGAGGCGCGATAGGTCAAAATGCCGTGACAGCATCTAACGTTGCGAGACTTGTCTCCCACCTTTTGAAAACAGATAATTTCCCTCATTCATCATTTGCAGCGAGCAAGTTTTCCTGAATCAAGTAATTGCGAAATCAGCCGAACTACTTCAGAGTGGTGCAGAGGCTTTTTCGGCGAAAAGCAGCCAAGATGAATAGCCAACGCACCGACCGGCGTGGGTGGCTCAAACTTGAAGCTAACCGAACACAACCAAACTCAAGAAAAGCAGCTATCGAACCTTCCCATTCACTTGACTGCAACATTGATGTTCCCTTCAGTATCAGTTACCAAGCAGTCGTCACTTTGAATGTGATTCGAGACAGACAAGAAATCAAAAAGTTTTTCCGTGATTCCTCCCCATACAACAAATCGAAAGCACGCGACCGTGTGCTGTGGAGTAAACGGGCTTTGAAACACGTAATATAAGAAAACAATCTACTGAGACCACACTAATGATCACTCAGGCAAACTTAAGCAATATTCGGACCTTCGTCAAATTACATTGTTCGCCACCGCGCCGACAACACGTCTCCGCGAAAGCCACCATAGACGCGGAGGAGCGCGGAGCGACCTGGACCGGCTGGTTCCCGGTTTTCCCGCTTGGCGGCGTCCGTTTTGCTGGAGTCGCGAATAGTATGTTCTTCGATGGTTTCATCTCAGATCGTGCAGGCAAAAAGGGTCGAATTTTCAATTTCGATGGAAAAAATATATGTTATGGCGCCGTTTCTAAAAACGCAGTCGCCACAAACCGCACGTTCGTCGGATTTTTTGTTCTCGACTTATGAATTTTTAAAGAGACCGCGGCGGAAAGCGCTGTTTTTCACATCCGTCGTGGGTCGGATGTTTCGCTTGATCTCCCGCCGTGGATTTTCAGTCCACTTTATATTATGTTTTTTCAAGCACTCTGTGGACACATTTAAAAGGCTCCAATACCATAAAATAATTTTAGGCGTTTTGCTTTTTTTTCTTTAAAAATGTCAAAAACGCCCCCTCGGTCAATTGTTAACGAAATTTGACAATTAATTACTGGCGATCTACTTGGGTTATATCGATATTTTTTATGTACACGGAGAGCCCAAAACACGCTATTTATATATATTATAAAATTACTCGGCTGTATAATGTATCCTTTGCGGTACGTTTACGTTAATGTTATGTGAAAACCAAAAAGTACCATTTTTGAAATTGATTTTCTTAAAAAACCCATTTTTTTATTTTTTTATTTTTTGTTAAAATGTAGATGTCATAGTTTTCTACACAAAAATCAAGTCTAGAAAGTGTGTATTTTGTTTTATGTTTTATATTTAAGCATCAATATCGTACAAAAACGTGTTTTTACGGCTCGAAATGGACTTGCGAATTGCGCGTCTTCAGAAACTTGGAAATATTTTTGCCTTTTCCAACCTTCCCACATAACAATCAAATATAGTAGTTCCACGATGTTATATTTATTGATTATTTAAATTTTATTATAGGCGGCAAGCTACATCGGAGGAGTTCAAAAGAGAAAGCAACATTTCTTAACAGACCAGCAGGTGTCGTAAATTTTTAACGTGAAGGAGTCGGCAGGGCGTCGTATTGATTCGGGGCCCTCATTTGCCTATATGAACGTTCCGCCCTTTCGGAACCAGCAGATGACCACGACCAGGGAGCAGCGCACCCTGTGTCACGAGGAGTGAAATGGTACGAATGTGTCGTTGACGCGGCGAACAGTGACAGCCACCCAGAAGGAGTCAGTCGGTGTATTGCACAAGGGAAAGCAAAAGAATCCTTTCCTGAAAGGATGAGGACACCACGGCCTTACAGTATCGACGGTCAACAACTGTTCTGCCAGCCAAAACAACGCCGCGTGCGCGCTAAAAAAGGCGGCGAGGGACACAAATCCCGCAGACGCACACACGAAGATGGGCCGGTTTCGTTAGGGATGTGGGGAAATTTGAAACCAACCATCCGTGCGCATGCGTGAAACGATACCGCCTGTTTGCCCTAGCTTCGAGCGCCCTATCCTTACCTTGAAACGGCCGTGCTCTATC